GGACAAAGGGGGGAGGGAAAAGGAAGGGGGAGGGAAAGTGAAGGGGGAGGGAAAGGGGAGGGGAGATGGACAAAGAAGGGGGAGAGAAAAGGGAGGGGAGATGGACAAGGAAGGGGGAGAGAAAAGGGAGGGGAGATGGACAAGGAAGGGGAAGAGAAAAGGGAGGGGAGATGGACAAGGAAGGGGGAGAGAAAAGGGAGGGGAGATGGACAAGGAAGGGGGAGAGAAAGGGGGGACAGGAAAGGGAGGAAAAGGGAGGGAAGGAAGGCTCGATGACGTGGGCACTCGACAATGTGGGCGTGCGTCGTTGTCGTGTTGCATTGTCATCATGGCGTCGCGTCTAGTGTTTAAAGGTTCAGTCCATAGGACCGCAAAAAACCGGTGGACTGAACTGAACCGGACCATGGTCCGGTCTTTTTTTCGGTTGCAGTTGCCCCAATTTGGGGTTGGTCCAGTTGCCAGTTGCCTCATTTCGAAAATCTTTTAAAACCGTTCAAAGACCGGTTTTAATCGGTTGCAACCGGTTAAACGGTCACATGCGTTACATACCCTTGTAACCACGTTTATTGCCTTTTATTGGGTTTTTGTTTCATCAAAAACGGTTAAGAATTGAGAAAGATATAACCAAATCCATATTTTACCCGAGTCTCTAGGAGATGTAATTCAGTTTCAGTCATAGCTATGTCAAATCTTCATTAAATCTCTTGAAAATTGGTAGAATGACAGGTATTTATATGCTTTACTATTTTATATAACTCATTTATTTTTCAGAGTAATAATGGTTGAGATACAAATGGTTTATATTGGTATAATAAATTATACGCAAAAAAACCGGTCTGGATCGGTCTGAACCGGTATCATGGACCGCAAAAGACCGGTCCTAGGTGGTTCGGTTCGGTTCCCTCAATATCTGGGTCGGTCCTGGACCGGTTGCGGTCCACGGTTGCGCGTTTTCGGGGCAAAAAACCGGACTGAACTGAACCTTTAAACACTAGTCGCGTCGTTGTCGTGTCGTCGTATGCACTTGTTGTCGTCTTCGCCAACGGGGTGGGTGCTCTACGTTGTGGGTCGTGGCCATTGGTTGACGTGGCCACTTCAGTCACCCACTGCCAACTGACTATTAGTCATGCAAACTCCACGTAAGTTACATGACTAAATGTCATGGACCATATCTATATTCTAGATATATATGGGTCCTAGAAAGCCCTGAAATCTAAAATATATTCTTGACACATGGACCCTGAAATGTCACACAAAAATTATAATGTCTGTGTCACACCACCAAAATATATTTTGCAAGTGAAATGCAGTAAGGATATATTTTTGGTCAGTGGACCCTGAAATGTCACTGTCACACCTTAGAAATATATTTTGCCCTGGCTTGGCCTTAGGATATATTTTGTGAAACAGATGTGGTAAGGATATATTTTTCTGGTCTGTAGGGGTGTCAGGGGTCCTAGTTTCAGCAAAAAACTTGTGATTTGTTTGCTGTCTAGGGTATATACTCTGGAAGATTCTGCAATGATTTCCAGGGGTTTTGGCACTATGTCTGGCTTGTGTTCCCAGTATGTAGGTAGCAATAAGAGGCATCAATAGTATCTGTGATCTACCTGAGTTGCTCAAGTATCATCCCCTTAGAATGGCACTATGAAGACAGTTTGCATTACAGATTTTTCAGCTGCTCAGAGTTCACAAGGTACTTTGTTGTTCGAAAATGCCTTGACAGTGCTACCTTGAAGCTATTCAATCCAAGGTTCCCCAAGTTAC